TATGCTTCTTCACAAAGGCTTAGCTTAGAGATCACAGCGACAGTGGTATTTGAAGAGTGCGAAACGTCGTGAGACATTGGAATGCAGAATGAATCATTCGGAAGTTGGACTGTGATAAAGTAATTAATTAACATGGAGGCTAGGGGGGGGCGGGAACCGGCGGAAAGCGGACTTGGAGGCTGAGATAGGGAGAAGATCGCAGTGAAACACCGTTTTAAAGACTATTTCCTTTCTATCCCACGGGATCCTGAGGCAGAAACGTTGATCAACTTTTATCCTTTTAAGAATTAGTGAGCAAATGGGTAAAGGTGGTGGAGGGATAGTTGGCAGCTCCCTTTGTGGCAATAGGTAGCAGGGCAGTGATCCTCTCCTCTCATTTGGTCGCCATTCGCTGCTGCCGACCGCTTGAGAGGTGGAGGAGGACTAACAGTGGCCTCACGCAATTGTTCCCCAAAGAGGAAAAACAACTGCGTGACCACTTTTAACAGAGAGCGCACGCCAAGGTACCGACCGACCGATACAGACCGTCACGATTGGTCGCTGCTGGACCTCCGCGGTCTTTCATCTTTGTGTTTCCTTCTTGAGGTTTTAACCTATCTATCCCCCCGCTGTCGTAAGTAGGCCACGAACATCTGGTGAGTTTTTCTTGTTTCTTGCCTTTCCGTCTTTCTTCCTTCCTTATTACCTTTTGCCCTCTCTCGCCCTCCCTCCTTCAATTCCTCTCTGCAAGCCTCTACACCAATCTGCCTCTTGCTATATTTTCGACTCAGCCTATCTCGGGGTGGCAGGAGATTAGTTTATTTCCTATCAGACCAGCGTAGTCAGTGGAATGAGGCACATCCAAACAAACATTCTATTATTGAAGCTCAACAAACGTTGACAAAACACTGCTTTACTTTTTTAAAAGGAGGACCTATTTCTTTTCCCTCTTTACCTATCCTCTCGCACCTCATCAAGGCAAACTCGACTCACTTTAGCCTCCCATTCGACCTTGTCTCGCGTGGTGGTAACGGCGTCCTCTTGATTCAATCAGCAAGGCCTGGCAAGGTTGTTCCATTAAGCTTCCAAATCCATTCCATCAAAGTCTATTTTAAATACTTTGCTACTCAAGCAAAGAGGCAATGGAAAGTAGTGGGCCATCCGACTCGCGATGCTTTGAGGTTTCACAGAGCCCGTCTTGGACATCAAATGACACCTTGGGGTCACTTCATACTGAGTGCCGCTCTCCACGATGGCTCACTGTTGTCAATACACCC